AATAATATTGTAGATGATTACGAAAAGAAAGTTGTAACACTTTATGAATGTTTGAAAAACATCGCTGGTGTTTTTGAAGATCACAAGGCAAATATTGTGATTGATGATGAGCAAACAAGCGAAGAATAAAAATATAGTTATTTAAGCAATATAATTTTTAATTGGTTTTATAATAAATTGGTAATTTGATTGTAAAATAAATTTATTAAATAATATTATTATTTAATAAACAGAATAATACAGTTGAGTAAGTGAAAAATTAGACAACATTAAAATGTGGTATCTATTTTATTAGTTTTTTATTTATTTTAATATATAGTCACCCTCTAAAAGCAATAAAAACACGACAAATGGTCTAAAGAAACTATAATTTATTATTTTAAACTATAATTATACAAACAGTAAAAACAACATTAAAAAAACAAAAAATAAAATCACATTGAATCAATTTTTGTCAAGCTTTTTAATTAGTTTAAAATATAACGGCAATCAATTAATACATGACACTTTGAGGTGTTTTGTCAATCTAGTTGACTGTGACAGCTCGTTTAAAAGCAATAATAATAAAAGGAGGTGTTGTAACCACAAATAAAGAATCCACCAATATCATCAATTAACTTTCTTAGTCTGTTCCAGAGTTCGATATTGTGAAAAATGTTTTTTTTCTAAAACAAATTAAACTGTTTTTCAAAAGTCGGTACCGAAAGGACCCGACTTTTTGAAGTAAATGATTCCAAATATTTTTCATTTTGTTTGACATCGTTTTTTTGCTTATTTTTTTCCCTCTTATTTTTTAAAAAACAAACTTGACTGAACCTTGAATTTAGACCAAGCTAAAAAATTAAATAAAAAATAACAAGGAAAATATCAAATAACTTACTTCTTCAAAAATTTTGCTTGACCATATGGTTGTTTTTGCCGTGAGTAAAACTGACTTTTTCTCTTTTCAAAAGAAAATGTTAATGATCCAACAAATAATAAAAATCTTTCAATTTCATTAACACTTACAACACAAAGAAAAGATTATTGAAAATAAAAATAACCATTTAATATGTGTAGTGTTTCAAAGTTTGTTTTTTTTAAAGAGACAACCATAAAATAACAACAAGTTAGAACGATTTATTGTGTATTTTGAAGTGGGGGAGAGTCGTAATGTGAGAGGTAAAATACGGTTATCTCACCCATTCAAACTACTCGTCCATTACCAAAAGGCAAAAATGCCGATTTTTTGAGAATCTCAACAGTGAAAAAGACTGAATAACAGTCTCAGAAAATCGGACAAGTTTGTTCTAATTTTTTGTTAAAATCCCGAAATTTTAATTGAAATTTATAACTGTATTGGTTTTGAGGGTTAAAAAGTCGGTACTGTTTTTTCTTTTTTTCAAATGGAAATTATAAATGAAAACAACAAAAAAACTTTAAAAAACGGGAATTTATTATAAAAGGGTTTCCACTAATAATTGGTAAAGTACCGACTTTTGGCATACAGTTTATTATCCACATTTTCCTTCTCGACTTCTTCTTGAAAAAGCAAATTTACAAAACTGTCTTTCGCTTTAAAAGAAGACATTCTACTTTTAAGCCCACCAAATATCCCCAAATCAAGAACTTGAAAAAAAAATGAGAAGCATACGGAGTTAAACTAACAAAGGTTGTGTTATTTTGAGTGAGCAACACAATGAATCTGATACATCCAAAGAATTGGTTGAATTGTCGAAAACCATACCAGTTGTAGGTTTGGTTTTTGGTATTGTACAAATAAATGCACATATACAACATTATCCATTAAAATTGATTTTCAGTTCACCTTTAATCTATTTTTGACAATGTATTATTATTAAGTAAAATTTTAGTTTATTTTGAAATACTTTCAATTAAAAGAAATAAATGTCAAATTGAAACACAATATAAAATCATAATTTCAAAAAACTATAATATAGTTTCTTTAGACCATTTGTCGGAAATTTTTACCTTTTAGCGGGTGACTATAAGTAAAATATTTTACTATTAAAAATAAGTAAACTTTTTATTATTAAAAAATAGAATATTGAAGTATAGGTCAAGTGGCTTAGTTTTGTCATGCCCCTCAATTTGTTTACTGGAATATCTTGATTTAAGTTATTCAAAAAATGACAAATTCACATTAACATTCTTGATAACACAGAAATAAATATGATATCCATCATAATATATCAAATTAAATATATGATGATGAAATTGACATATCGATAATATATATATATATATATATATATTTAGATTAACGATTTATCATTCCAAAGTAACGAATATTAACTGAGACATTATTGTGTTTTAATCAATCGCTATGAACATTTGGTTGATAGTTTATTGTACAATTCGATCTTTTCAACAAAGAATACATAAAAAATTTATAAACTTTTTCTGAATAACAATTTTGGTTTTTTTATTTTTAATGGATAATTAAATATTTTTTGCCGAGAAAAAAAATTAATAAAAAAAATAAAAATAAAACATCGAAAAATATATTTTTTGAACTTTATGTTGAAGTTACCAATTGTCCAAGTTACGAGATGTCCCCCAATCACATCAGTTTTTTCAGCCTTTTTAATGATAATAGAACAAACCTAAAAAAAATAAATAAATATAATATAAAAATTTCAATTATAAAAATATATGTTCAAAATGTTAAAATTACATTACTATAAATATGTTTTATTATATCAGTTACATATTATTTAAATATAATGTCGACCATATAGATAATACTATCAAAGACGTTTATTTGTCGTTATTATAATTGTCGAACTTGCTTACTTGTCGCGCTATGGCTAATCGTTATGATGTACGACAATTAAATTTATAATTTTCTGATATGTAATTTTTGTTCAATTAAAACCCAAATTTTTAATCAAAAAGAATTGTCCAATTAATTCTTGCATTTACACAAATAGAAACCTTTCTCTTTTGGATTCACGACAAATAAACACCTTTCACCATGGTTAGGATTTTTTATAAAAAACCTGATTTGTGGCCATTTGTTTATTTGATTTCTTTTAAAGAATCAAGAAATGAATAAAAAACCTGATTGTGCTTTCACTATATTTTTTAAATAATTATATTGGTTCAGTAGTAATTTATAGTTGTAATTATAAATATAAAAATAAAAGAAAAAAGAAAAAAGTAAAAACATGAAATTAAATTAACTAAAATACATTAGATTTATTTAGAAGTAACAAAACGAATTAAACAAAAAAATCACTTAAACTAAACAACATTTGTGTAATACATATTTTTGTTGTTCATTGACAACACTATTTGTATTTTTGTCGATTACAACCGTTGTATTATTATTTGTCGACGCAACAACATCTTCACAAATCATCTGGAATAGAGCCATGATGTTTTGATTTGTTTTTGTTGAAGATTCAATAAGCCCGACATTCCATTTTATTGCTAATGCTTTTGCCTCTACATAGTCAACAGTTCTTTGTATCTCCAGATCACTTTTGTTTCCAACAAAAAGAATTGGCAAGTGTACATTTTCTTTAATATTACGTAATTTGTATATTCTTTCTCTATAATTGTTTGCTTCAATAAATGAAGTGCGTGAATTTATTGCATAAACAATGACAAACCCATCACATGTTTTAATATAATCGTCACACATTTGGTGTACCGTATAATCATCTGACGCATTACTTTCATAAATTTCAGTGTTATATAGTGTTTTGTCAATATGTATGTGTATTTTGTAAACATCAAAATTCGGAAAATTTTCATTGGAACCATATTTGTTTAAAATCATGCGTTCACAAATTGAAGTTTTG